GGAAATCCTTAGGAATGAATAAATGAAGAATAGATTATTCTTAGGGTAGATCCTTAAGAATAAAGAAGATAATGAAGATGGGTAATTATGTTAATTGCTCGACGATGAAACATAATAACTTTACTATTGTGAGTTGAAAACCCTATGTACTCCCCAGGTTTCCCAACCCGACCCACTCAGTTTATTTATATAACAGGTGTCGGTACGAAGCTACATTACACTGAGAGATTAACGGAGATGTAAATCATTAGTGTAAATGAATGTAATGTCTGTTTATACTTATGTTTTTGTATTAAATATGACATCCCAATGTTTTAATATAAATAAAATACATTTCTTCGGAAATGCTTTGAAAATATTATTATCCTGTTTTTTTTTTTTCTGGGAACAAATTCCGCAATACTACTTTTCAAAATGGATACTCTGATTTTAAATAAGCATAAATAATTTTTTTGAAATGACCATGAATTTGGGGATGTCACAAGTACAAGATCAACCCAACATAATATCCATACATATATCGGTAATCATATATCAGGTGGTCCTACATATCTACCAGACCAACATATCGACAACTATTATAATCATGGATATCTATTCTATACTTAACATATCAGAGGATAACAATATATCAAACCGATGGGACGATATTGGTGCTTTCGACCCGTAAATACAGTGAAGAAGACTCACCTCAACCCGTTGATACTCCAAAGACTGCTCGCACCACCAAACCGGATAATCCTTGTGCCAACTAACAAAATACATTTTTAATCAATAATTGACCTGACAACCCAAAATACCCAAAGCCCAAATATGGCCCAATTATCCAAATTGGGACCAAACCCATCATGGACCTCACCCGAGAAGACCCAATATTCTAAAAGGCACAACATATTCAATAGTCAACCCTGGCCAAACTTCTGGTCAAAGTTCCATAGCCAACAAGTCAACAAAAAAAGTCAAACATGTTGAGTACGCCCTTTAGGACCGGTACGCGCAACGTACCAGATGGGTACGCCCAACATACTCCTCTGAACCCCAGATTTCTCCATTAAGAACTTAACCACTTAAGTCCTTGCTCTAAACTCTCAGATCTGATTCCTATGGATGACTTATCACATAAAGTTGGCAAGTTTACTTGCATGCATGGCTTAACAAGGTTCTAGAGCTCAAAAGAGCTTAATGAAAGGTTTTAAAACATGCACGAGTCCAAATAAAACATAAAGATCACATTTTTATGCCTTTGGGACTCCTAAAACGTCCAAATCTACAAGATCAAGCCTCTAAAACAACCTTAGCTCACAAGGACCAAACCAAAGAGGCCAAAATGACCAAGACAACCCAAAAGAATATCCAACCAAAGAGATGACAAGATCAAATCTTTTTTTTTTTTTACCTTTAATAGATTGCAAAAGATGAGAAACTTTTGGATCTACAAGCTCCTCTCCAAGAAATGAGTCTTCAACCTTCTTCTTCTCTTACACAAGCCACCGTAAACCCTCTTCTAAGCTCCAGAACTCACTTAAGGAAGTTTAGGGTTTTAATGCATACCAAAGGGGTGGAGGCTGACTTAAAATGCCCAAAAAGAAAGATAAAATGATGCTTATATAGGGTAAAACCCCAAAGTTAGGGTTTGGTGTTGGAGGGAGTACTCCCCGCATACCCCTTAGTACGCCCGACATACTCAAAGACCATCCACGACCATTACACCCATTACGCCTCGCATTCACAATGAGTATTCCCCACATACTCATTGAACCTCTAAAACCCTAAAACTTCACTTGGCCCTAACTTCTTATTTCTACGTTCGTTTCCAATGAACTTTATATACACAGAATGGTGACGAGAAGCCCTACAATTCTAACAACTTACCTCCGCCTTAAAACCTCCCGAACAACAACCCAAAATTCATAAAGACCCGAACTGCCCAAATTACGAATATACCCTTGGTCTCTGTTACAGAAAGTCAGAAACGAACTCTTGGATCATCTAATCTATAATACCCACATCCAAAAAGGGCCAACTCCTTTCTTCCCCAAGTCCCTAAGCCTTATGATACCTGATGATCGGGCCACAACCCCGAATAATGAAGCAATTTGAAACCGAATGTTATAGGGATGCGCTAATCGATGAGTTAAAACCATAAATAAGAAGAAAACCCTAAAAATCATGGGTTGGTTGCAACAACTTCCACATCGTGGCGGCCATCAGATATGCGTTCCTTATAATCGACATGCCATGTCGTGGTCCTCTATACACCACGTCGTGGCACAGAGTTTTTCCCAAAAACCTTATCTTTGATCCCTTTAATTCCTCTACCGATTCATTTTGAAAATTGGGTGTTAGAGTAAAAGCTTGAAATCATCTCAATCCATCTCTTAATTTTTTTTGTTTGACATATATTTGCTAGATGTTTTATGTTTGTTTAATAGATTTTATTTTTAGATTTGACTTAGGTCTATGCTTATTTATGATTTTTTTTTTCTAGGTTTAATGCATATATGCTAGTTTTTAATTATGGATATGTGAGATTTTATTGAGTTTGATGCAAATGTTTCTAGATTTAATTTTTATGTTATTTTTTTGAATTTTTTTTAGGTTTGATGTACTCTTTTATTTACAAATTCCACAGGGGTCACAATATATCCATTGAAGACAGAGATGGGAGAGTGGTGGTGATTTTAAGTTTATCAATCATTTTAATGTCGGCACTAATTCAAGACAAACTAAGTTCAAATTAAGCTATAACCCAAGAGTGGAGGTGCAAAGTGCACATCCGGATAAACTAAAGTGAACTTGGGAACATGGGGTATGGCGTAGTGCACCTAGTGGGGTTAGAGAGGGCATCACCTTGATGGAGTACAAATGGCAGAGCCCCTGATGGTACGCCTGCTTACCTGTCAGCAGGAGTGGACAAGGGGGCACCCTTATGGAGTGTAGGTCAACACCGTAGCCTAAACCGAATCCATATATAACATATATAGTTTGCTACTTGAGAGAGAGAGAGATTATGTAAACATTTTCTCAACTTGCTCTTATCCAAAACAGGTTTATAAATTTAGTTAATACTATATATGTCATTGATTAAGGAAACCAAACCAGTCTCTGGTTTTCAATGGTTCATTGAAATAAAAGTATTTTAGTATGGTGGTTATAATTTGTAAGTAAACTAGTTAAGACCTTGGATATATAGAAAAATAATATAAACAAGAAAAAAATTAATGGAAGTTATAGAAGAATTAAGGGCAGTGTTAGTGTCGAAATTAGTGTATACATAAGTGTTTGTTAATATATGCAGCTGTCTAAAACATTAATAAAAACTTGTTGAGAACTCCAAATATCCAAGTAATTACAATAAAACCTGCATGAAGACAAAAGGATAGAAGGGCATTGAAGTAAAATTAATCTTTGATTTGGTTGGGAGTGGAGCTGTGGCACATGGCAGTCATGTGAGGCCTCCAGTCCACATGCATTGAGAGAGTCTTTCCATGTTATTATGATCACTCATAATAATACCAGCGCCACAGCAGGATTAGGTCAAACCTCTCAACCCTTGACTAATTATCCTTTAATTAAAATTCCATAATTATGGATCTACTCTATTTTTGTCGGTCAATTATTTTTGATACTCACAATACATTTGGCAAAACCAGTTCTTAGTTGGAATTAATTTAAGTTCGTAACTGAAATTTGGACGTAATAGTTTTTTATTTTTTTATTTTTTTGTAAATAAGTGTTAATTAAAATTTGTTGTAAGCTTTTGGAATAAATAAAATCACGTCAAACATAAACGTTAAGAGCTATTTGAAATAATTTCGAATTAATTTTTTTTGTTTAAATAAAATTTTTAAGTTCCTACTAATGAACAATTCTTTGTTTTTTAATTCGGAGTTTTTCCTAAAAACGTTTATTTAAAAACTCTTTGGGCTTTTTACCGAACGTGCCTTATATATTGGGCTGTTTTAATATTTTTGTTATGCATAGTGATTATGAATAAAGAATAATATGCGAAGATAAGTTTGATTTTTAAGTGATTAAAAGATTAGTCACCATTGTCATTAGAAAATTAATCTCAATATACAGTGGCTTTATAATATCATATTTGAGAAGATCAACCTCGGATTTTGTTAAGCTATATATAACTGTGTGACATTATCATGGCAATAATTTTGCTTATTATTATATAAATATTACCGTGGTAATAATTTAGCTTATCATATATTAAAGTTAGTTAATTTCCATGGTTTTTATAAGAAAAACAATGGCAGCAGTTAAAATGATCAGAATTATTGTTTTATTTTATTTATAGTATTGTTATTTATCTAAAGAAGCTAAATAAACTTTATTGGTTGGGTATATTTATTTTCTAATATCTAAAACTTTAGCATTCATAATAGGTTATTGAAATTTAGGTTGTCGACTTTAATAGAAGAAAAATCTATCCATCCAATTAATTTGTATATATCAATAATATAGTGCTTTAGCATCTATTGCTTGAAATCTGGAAAAGGGACTGGCCTGAATTTATTCGCTTCATTTGTTTCCCACTCTACTCTACTCTATATAGGACAACAAATCATCCAAGCTTTTATTACAACGTGTTTCAATTTTCAATGGTTAAAGGCATCATCATTTAACTTTTTACTTTTTAGTAACTAATTTCATACCCATGTCATATTAAATCTGTAACTTTTGGTTACAAATATACAGAAAAATACAAGTATATATTTAACTTCTTCAATTAAAAAAAAAAACAAAAAAACTTTTTAATAACTAGTATATATTTTTACATAGGTCAGTCACCCTTTTGGTGTTAGGTTTGCATGTGCTCGTCTCATAGCATCGTGGCTCACCTGTTTCAGCTTCACCGGACACCAACGTTTTAATATTCTGACGTCCGTCCAATTCCAATTCAAAGTAACAGCTCACCGACCCTTTTTCCTTTATATACACACACCACTCCAAACTCAAACACCATTTAACACCTCCCCAAAAAAACCATGACCACCACCCTCTCCTCCGAACCACCTCCGGTAACCTCCAGTCCCCGGATTTCCTTCTCCGCCGACTTCCTCGACGATGCTAACTTCATCTGCATTACACCACACGACAGAGAGAAAGAGAAAGATAAAGAGAAAGAGAGAGAAAAGGAGAAAACAAGGAACGTCGGCGAGTTTGAGTTTCTCTCCGGTGATACAACCACTCCGACGACAATGCTGACGGCGGACCAGCTGTTCTTCGAAGGGAGGCTACTACCTTTCCGACAGAAGCAATTTTGCGAGACGCTAGCGAAAATCAACCTGAAAACGGAAGGGAAACCGGAAGAGGTGAAGGAAGATAGTAGTAACAGTAACAGAATGAGTTGGTTTATAGATGAAGATCCGTCTCCGAGACCACCGAAATGTACGGTTTTATGGAAGGAGTTGTTACGGTTGAAGAAACAACGTCCGTCTTCTCTCTCGCCCTCTTCCTCTTCTTCTTCGTCTTCGTCGGCTTCCTCCATTGATGAAGATTCGAAGAAAGAGAAACATCAGGTGAAGAAGGTTAAAAAGGGGCTAGAGAGAACCAGATCGGCGGGGATTAAAATCAGACCGATGATTAACGTTCCGATTTGCAGTCAAGGAGGAGGGCGGAGCAACTCTCTGCCGCCTCTTTTTGCGCTGAGGAAAAGTGGAAGCGGAGTACTGGACAGGTAGGGATAATTTTAGGTATTAATTTACTGCCTTTCGTTTTATGTGTTTGGATTTTGATTGATTAATTTGGGTGTAATTTGGTTTTGATGATTCTTAGTGCATAATCTTCGTATTAATGTAAATGCAGAACTATAATTAATGTCTTTTTGAATGCATTTCTTTTTTTTCAAGATCCAATCAATCAGTGTTTACTTACATTAATCAATCCACAATGTGTATCAAATAATCCAAAAAATCGATTAACAAGCTCCATAACTTATTAACACAGCTTGTGCTTGAGTAAAGGAAAAAAGAATCTTGTACATTTCTTCGAAGTACATTTTTATCAAGCAATTGGTGGGACCAAAAGTTGATTACCAGGTAAAAACCTGAAAAAAAAAAACAGATGATATGAGGAGGTTGAAGATGAACTACAAACAAAAAGATTCCCATAGATTTATTATTTAGAGAATCGATTCACGTTAGTTTTGAGGTTTGGAGTTATGCTGGGTTGATGGAATCGTTAAGAAATTAAATAAATCTATTTCACTGAAATGAAAAAGAAGTTTGTTTTTTCTAAAGGAATGGAATATATAATAATTTTGATTCCCTAGCTAAGTTGTTTTTATAGATTCAAATGTAGCCTAGTTTTTATTTACGTAATTTTCAATAACAACAATCTTCTAAAACTTTCAAGCTGTTTAATTACATTATAACTTTATTTTTTTAAATAACTAGAAAAAAAATCTTTTTTATTCTTATATTTTATACATAAAAAGTTGACAAACTTTACATTTTTTTTATTTTATTAATATAAAGTTTAACAAATTTTACGAAGGGTTAGTGTAGTAACTAACGAACTATTTAATTTTTTATACGAAAGTAAGAAGGAAACTGAAATATTATGCAACAATATAGATAAATTTCAATATTCATTTATGAATTATACTCGTATAAAGTTGAATCAAACAATTATATTATAATATGACAACTTGAAAGTCGTCAGTACAAACTAAACATGATCTTAGAATCTAATAATACTTTTCGTTATCTTGTTTATATTCTGTTCTTTTTCAATTAATTACCTTTAAAATATCATTCCATGCAACCGAAATAACATGTTCAAATTTAACCCGGTATCCGAAAACTATACCTGAAGTTCAAACCGGGTTTCGTTGTGAGTCCGGGTGGAACTTGACCACTGAAATTATTATTTTCCAAGAACCTAAAATAATAACAAACAAAGATATACTATTAGAAACAATTAACATTAAGTTGTTAAAAAATAAAAAGCACAAAAGAAGACGATTGCAATATGACCCACAAGAAAAGCAAATTGATGTAACATTAACTTCATACGGATTGTAGTACTATAAGAGATAAACTTACAGTTCACGCAGCCTGTCAATATTTTCCAAAGACGAGGGGATCGGTCCATTGAGATGATTGTCCTCCAAATGTCTGTTTCAATGAGAAAAAGGGTAAAAATAAATAAATAAAAACTCATTCATTTGTACCATATGGATATATTCGATGAATGATTATAATGGGCTCCATTTTTTTTTTAACTTCAACCCTTCCCCAATATCAATCATTTTTCTCATGAATTCACGACTTTTCATCATGATTTTACGTTCAAAAACTTACATGGTTTTTAACATCTTCAAGGTACTAAAATCAGGAATTGATCCCGACAAGCTATTGTTTCCAAGCCATCTGCCATAACCAAAATTAAAAAATTAAACTCCTTCGTTTTGGATATTTTATAAATGCATGAGGGGCTTACAAGTCATTCAACGCAGTCAAGTTTACAATGTTGGGAGAAAGAGATCCCGAAAGGCTCATGCTTGTAAGGTTTCTGAAAAGAAAGAGAAAGATACACGATTTTACAGATTACATGTTGTAATTGGCTTATTATGAATAGAATCTATAATGATGTAATGGACTCACATTCCAATCACACGAACATTAGATCCATTAGAGCATGTGATTCCAGTCCATGCGTTCTCCCGAGGTAAACAGGGATCGCCATTCCAATCGAATGGAGGATTTTGAAATCTGTCCTTCAAACTCTTCAATCCAATCACTATAAAACAAGAAATTAAAATCAACTTGTATTCTTTCAGCGGTATGCTAAGAAGATAATGAAATTAGGGCAAAGAACCAGACCATCTCGCGTTTGAGTTCTTCCACCAAATGGTAGCACTTCAAAGATTTCTCCACCGTTAATCAAAGGGGCGAGAGTAGAACCAGGAGCAGGAGTTAGTATGATCTTTGTAGGACCAGAAAGCTGCCATTGGTTAGCAAACAAAGCGACGCCTGTCTGAGGAACCTTTAGATCACTAAAATATGTAATACCGTTAATGGTGATGTTGAAAACCCTAGAAGTCCCGGTGTCATCTGCAAAGTAGAGAGCGATGTAGTAGGTCGAGAGCTGGAGAGGTGAAAGAGGCCATTGAAGCTCCAAGGGTTGTGGTTGGCCGACTGTGAACTGTGTCTCAAATACTTTCCGTGGAGGGAGGTTCCAGAAACCAGTAATGGATACGTTTTCTCCCCTTGAAGATGTTGGATTGGTTACACCATATGGCTCCCAATAACGATCAAATTGATCATCCGGGTATCTGAATTTACAATCAATCTGTTAGATGTAGTATGTATGCTACAAAAATCTTCACATAATTAAGATAATTCCATGGCATCACAATCAAAAGCATGTAATTGGAACTATCGGAGTCGTTTTCATTCTTATTTGATACATTATCAATCTCACTTTTCAATTCAGAATGAAGACAACCAAGACTAGAACATCTAGTTCAATTACTGGAATTGATTGATGAGAATTGGTGGCCATACCTTATTATGGGTCCATTGTATCCAAAGCTATGCCTCGCAACCAATCTAAGACTGAAATTCCCAAAATCCGTCGAATTATATAAGGAATCAGCTAATAATACGAATTCCAAAGCGGATATAAACGGATCAGACTCAGTATACGTATTGGAAGCGAGGCAGAGGCTCATTGACTTCCCGCCGGCACGGAATACCCCTTCGTAATACGACGCTGATCGATTGGCGTAATCTTCAGTCGTATTCACCACACTCCAGAAGGTTCCATCCACGATCTGATCAAACACCGGAGGCGAAGCTTGATTGTTCACTCCGCCATAGTAATACGTCGTCCGAACAAGATACTTGGCGGTGCGGTAAACCGGAACGACGTAGCAAAACTTTCTGCGGCGTGAGTTGTTATCGAGGAGGGGAAACGATCGAAGGGTGGAGAGAGTATGAGAGAGGTTCGTTTGCGTGAGGTGTTTGGAGGTGCCGGTGGAAATATAAGCGGTGTCTGGAACATATTGTCGATTGTCGATCACAGAAGCGACGGTGGCGCCGCAGTCGATGAGTAGAGCCCTGGGTGGTTGGGAGAGGGAAAAGGGGATGAGAGAGAGGGTGAGGAGAAGAGGGAAAAGGTAGAGGAGCATGGTTGAATTTGATGAAGATTGAAGAGTTTCAGGGTCATCATAGGTTTTTGATTGTGATGGAGTAGGAAGAATGGGAAATGTAGTGGAGTTGAAAGGGTCGTTAGTTGACTCAGTAATGGAAGCAAGGAATATGTGAAGTTGGTGAAGGTGATTGGGGAAGGAATCGACGCGGTTAATTGCAACGATGACGACAAACAGCGGCAACTTTGTTATTTAAATATTTATATTATTTATTTCTTGGAGCAAAAGCGGCAAATTGTGTTTCCAACAAATGTGATCAAAATTTGGTATAGAGTTGACTGCAAATGGTTTGTTGTGGACTTACTCATAGGGTGTTTCGGATTACTTTCGAAATGATTTTTTGGTTTTTTAATTTTTCTGCAAAATAAAAAAAAAAATGCCAAATGATGCTAACAAAATGTAAAAATTCTTTTTAAAATAACTTTTTATAAAAAAAAATATAAAAGATAGGTTTTCAAAAGTCATGAAAAATATGATTTTTGGTGACTTTAATTTTTTGGAAACAAAACAAAATTTATAAAAAGGACAATGGGCCAAAGCCTTACAAGTAAAAAGAAATGGCAAGCAACAAAACAATAACAAAACAACACACTCCCCTCATGAACACCAATATTACAAAAGTGAGAGATGATAGATGTCACACCCACTCCCCTCCTTGAACAAGCCATGGAGGAACGAATGTGATCCAAACTACCCCTCCAAGCGAGCATAAGATTTTTAAGGGGACCAAATGCAACCAAACTGTTGGGATGTTAGTTCCAATTAAGACTTTGGAATCGATAAGTTTATGGATATCATGAACATAAAATTGCCCGTCACTAGAAAGCTTGGATGTCCAAGAGTCGGGCTCCAAGGCCAATATAAGCCCATGAAGGAGCCCATTAATTTGGGCCAACTCCACCAATTCCACAGGAAGACTATGTTTTTTCCTCCAAGCCCATGAAAATCCATGAAATGAATATCTATATGCCAAACAACATGCTTATCCAATTCATATAAATTAGGAAACCGAGAGGCCAAACTTCCATCACCACTCTAATTATCAAGCCAAAACAGGGTGTTGTGCCCCGACCCGATTTTGGTAGAGACAAAAGAATAAAAGTAGAGTCTCACTTCTTCCACAAAAGCCCAATAAAGTCATCAGATTATTTCATACTCCGGGGATAGATCTATTGGACATATTATAAATGGGTTAGTAAGAGAGGTTATGAATCCCACATATAACTTGCTGCCACAGAGAAGAATTCTCCATTTTTTTACCTCCAGATCCATTTGTAACGTAAAGCAATATTGAGGCTCTTAAGAGAGCCAACACCTAGACCGCCCAACTATTTATCTGCAAGAACATGCTTCCAGGCGACCCAATTGATTTTTTTTTCTCATCTGTCCCGCCCCAAAGGAATATTCTACGAATCTTCTCCAATAATTCAATAATGGAGTTAGGGGGCTTAAGGATCGAAAAATAAAACATGGTCATGCTGCTAAGGATCGACTTAACCGAAGTCAAATTGCCTCCAAAAGAGA